AGAGAGAGAGAGAGAGAGAGAGAGAGAGAGAGAGAGAGAGAGAGAGACGTATACATATACACTGGCACATCCTCAAATAACTCTCGATCTTCTCTGAAGCAAGAGACAGGAATACAGCAGAGCCTGGGCCACGAGCAAAATGTCAGGGAGCGCCTCAGTCTATCTCCCCATGCCACACAGACAGGGAGCCAGGCTTGGGCAATCCATTAGTGGGATATATTCATGTCTGTTTGTCTGTCTGTCTGTCTGTCTGTTTGTCTGTCTGTTTGTTACACACACACACACACACACACACACACACACACACACACACACACACATACATACATACATACACACATACACACACCCACTCAATCAACCATACACACATACACACACATTCACACATACATACACATACGAGTACACACACAAACACACACATATACACACACACATGACATGAAATGCACAGTCTTCTTCTCTGTCTGCCAGTCTGTCCGTCTGTCTGTCTCTCTATCGCTCTCTCTCTCTCTCTCTCTCTCTCTCTCTCTCTCTCTCTATCTCCCTCTCCCTCTCTTCCCAACCCTGCTCCTCCCCCCCTCTCTCATTACAAGGTAGGTAGAATGACCCTCCGTAGCATGAGCAGTCTACAGAGAGACAACAGATGATGGTCTGAAGGTCAGGGCAAGAATAAACAGATCTACCCTGGTTACCCTCCTTCACGGTATGTGCTGGTGTGGAGGTCAGGATGCACGCAGACCTTGCCCAGTGCGCGAGGGACGAATGATGATGAGAATGATGATCTTTTGAAGTTCTTTTGCCTGTTATCTTACGCATGCAACAAAGATTGCCTCTCTTTCATTCTCACTCCATCCTCCCTCCCTCTCTCCCTCTTTCTTCTCTAGCTATCTCTTTTCTCTCTCTCTCTCTCTCTCTCTCTCTCTCTTTCTCTCCCTCCCCCCCTCTCTCTCTCTTTTCCTCCTCTCTCTCCTCCTGTCCTCCCCCTTATCTATCTATCTATCTATCTATCTATCTATCTATCTATCTATCTATCTATCTATCCATCTATCTATCTATCTATCTATCTATCTATCTATCTATCTATCTTTTTCTCTCTCCCGTTCTCTTTCTCTCTCTGACTCTGTGTCCGTCTCTCTCTGTGTCGTTCTGTTTCTCTCATTCTGTGTGAGTCCGTACACGTTTGTACATAGAGCTATAAAGTATGCCTTTGGAGAAAGGCCACCGGCCTGTTACAAACAAGGGGTAAACGCACTGATAGATAGATAGATAGATAGATAGATAGATAGATAGATAGATAGATAGATAGATAGATAGATAGATAGATAGATAGATAGATAGATAAATCGGTAGGTAGGTAGGTAGGTAGGTAGGTAAATAGGCAGGCAGGCAGGTAGGCAGGTTGGTAGGTAAGTATTATGTAGGTAGGTACAAATGTATGTAGGTAGGTAACAATTATGTAGGTAGGTATGCAGGTAGGTTGGTCAGCATTGATGGATGCAGGTATGGATGGACAAGAGAAACAAACATATATTTTTGTCCTGATAAAGTATAGAGAACAAATCATGAAAGTATTTTCTTGTTTTGTTTTAGATTGAAAACGCAGGAATAAAGAGGTGCGAGAAGCAAAGGCTTACTGCCATGTGTGAAAAGGTCGGGGGTTTGACAAGCTCTACGCATAATAATACAGAGTACCACGATATGGTCAGAAAGGTATCAAGGCTCTCCTGTCTATCGATCTTAGCGTCAGCCACACACGAGCGAGCGTGACTGAGGGTCATTACAGGAAGGACAGCGAGGGGTGGTGGAAGTCAGAATGGACTGATTGTAAAATAATGTTTTACACCCTGTCGACACTTAGATCATTAACTCTTCTTTCAGGAGCAGTGCAGTGGACATACAATAATATGTCCGACCAGCAGCAGACCAAGGGCAATGCTGAAGAACATTTCGAACCATCATACCAGTATCAGAAATACCAGTTTGCATATATTTCATAGTATGCATGTTATTTCCTGCCTTTTAAGGTTTCAGATAAAGAAAAGAAGAGATAAACAGGGAAATTCAATGTTTTAATATTTTTAAACACCCCAATACAGCGTGTCTTCAAGGGCTTTAAAAAATAACCAGAATGCGCGTGGTCAGAGAGTTAAGGAGGTGAGCACTTTTGACCCGGCCTGTCGGTGCAACCCCGAACAGGACTAATTCCCCACTCGGGAATTGAATACAAATTTCTTGCTCGCAAAACCTTTTACACCGGAGAGACCAGTCCACTAC